GATGGGGACAGCGTGCAACCTTTTCGGACCCCCTGCTCAATGTCGAAGAATTTAGACAGTTCTCCATGTAGCATGACCGCGCTTTTCGTACACTCTGTCATCATCTTCAGCACTCTCCACATTTTCTCCTTGATCCCGTATTTGGACAGTTGTTTCCACAACCCATTTCTCCATACGGTGTCGTATGCCTTTTTCACGTCCAGGAAGAAGCAGTACGTCGGCTTTCCCGCCCTCTTTCTACCTTGGATGATTCTCCCTACCGTGAACACGTGGTCTACGCACCCCCTCTTCTTGCGGAAACCTGCCTGGCCCTCACTAATGCNATGATTCTCCCTACCGTGAACACGTGGTCTACGCACCCCCTCTTCTTTCGGAAACTTGCCTGGCCCTCACTAATGCTATGCTCCTTCTCCAATACTCCCACTACCCTATCGTTCCGCAGCTTACAGAACACTTTTCCTACTGTATTCAACATTGTGACCCCCCTGTAGTTTCCTGGGTCAGTCTTGTCTCCTTTCTTAAACAAGTTCACAACCACTCCTTCCCTCCATCTACTTGGCGTATACTCGTTTTGCGAAACCCAATGGTATTGCAGTACCATCAGCTGTATCATCCCCTTCCCCCCAAACTTCATGAACTCGTTGACTATCCCATCCGCTCCTGCTGCTTTGTGGCACTTCAGCTTGTTCACACACGCCTCAACCTCGTCCTCAGTGAACTCCTTTTCTAGTTCTACGTTCCCAACGTCTGCCTTCGATGTCTCTTCTTCTTTTTGGGCCCATGCGTCCACCTCCTTCCTAAACACCTGGTCAAAAGCTTCATTCTCCGAGGGCACTCCAAGTCTCTCGTAGTGTCCTGCTAGAACTTCCCTTTTTCCCTTCCCACTGCTGACTAATCCACCGTTCACACCTCGCAAAGTTGCGACCACTGTATCCCCCCCTTGCGCGGTCTTTTTTACAATCCCACTAATCCCTTCCCACATCTGCTTGACGTTCCCCTCCAGGCCTCCNCTAGTCCGTTCACCTGTTTTCTCTTGGCCTTGTACTTTTCCCAACTCTCCTCAGACGCCTCACTCAGGTACTGCTTGAAGACTTTTCTACGTTCCCCTATTTCTTCTTTCAGCTCGTCATCCCACCACTTAACCGATACCCCACATCGTACCACCTTCTTTCCCACTACTCTCTCTGCCGTTGCGTTCACGATGGACTCCCACCCTTCAATCACCCTGTCCCCTGCTGTCTGTACGTCTACCTGTCCGTCTTCGACGCTTCTCAGCAGTTTCCTGAAGGATTCTACACTACCAGCCAGCCCCTTCTGGAATTCAT